TACTTCCTCAATCAATGTTTTCGCATGAACTTTCTGCAGCTTATATCTTTCTTTCATCTTCTCTCTCATATGCTCATCGTTACTAGAGGCCAAGTAGTCTAACCATGCTTTTTTCTTCTTTTTTACAGCTTCTCTCACTTCATCATTCCACAATGCATCTCTTCTTTTACTACTACCTCTTTTTGTCGTACCACATACTTCTTCCGCTGCACTTACCATTCCATCCCTAAGGTTCTGCCATATTCTCTCCACACATTCTTTCCTGCCATCGATGGTGTCAAGCTTTTCGGCTACCCTCGTGTGATATTTGTCCCTAGTATCCGCTTCCTGAAGCTTCCAGCTTCGGATGCGACAGACCGACTGTGGTTCTGTTACTGCCGTCCGGTAGCGCCAACCCGCGAACAAACCCCTAAATCTAGTAATTACTAGATAATGATCCGTTCCCAGGTCAGCACCCCTGAACACTCGTGTATCCATCACCTGTTTTCGCAGTCGGTCATCCACCAGGAACAAATCAATCATACTTCTCTCATTCTTTCTTTCTCTATTGTACATATGGATTTTCCTGTGATTAAACATAGTGTTTGTCACAAGAAGACCCTTTTCCTTGCATACAGCCAGTATAAGCTTGCCAGCATCATTAACCCTTTTATCGCCAAACTTTCCAAGCACCGACTCGTATCCTGGTCGAGCGATAACTACCCATCCATTCAAATCACCACATACAACAGTTCTTTCGTTTCCCTTAACCAAATCTAGAACTTCTCTTACATTCTCCCAAAACTCCTCCAGCTCAGCTCTGGACGACGAAGCTACCGGCGCATAAACAGCCACAAGGAATAACTTCGTCAGTCCCATTTTGAAGCAAAACCAGCATATAATACAGCATATATTATATGGTAATATAGAAATTAGCCGCAATCAATTCTGCTTCTTATATGCGATAAGTATAACCTACGCAAATGCTGTGGATGGAAATCTCAACCATGCCCTATTAACGCTTTTAATATATTTATAAAAAAATTTATAGGATAGGGTGACAAATGAGCGCAAAGTCCACCTGATAGTAAGTGATTGCTGCGGCCCATAGACATCTACATCTATCCTCGATTACAAATCCAAATGCAGATGCGTTGTCACCCGTGAGTACTAAGATGGAATGCCTCGTTTCCAGTAAAAAGGGTCTCCGGTTCTCTACACTCACCATTCGAAACACTTTTACGCTGGTATTCTGTGAGAGCGTGGTCCTTCCCCGGCCGAACCGACCCATTCGTGCTACAACTATACTACTAATATAACATGGCTCTGATGATGATCTGTCTAACCATATACCCAAATATTGTATGTTATCTGTCCGGACTATTATCATTTCACATAGTTCTAATTTAATTTCCTGTCGTCTAAACCCTCTCCTAAAAATCATAAGCTTAGTCTTGTTGATAAAAATATCGAAGTCAATTTTATTAAGTGAAGTGACTATAATCATTCTGAATGTTGTACTCACAGTCCTTAAGATTTTTTGAAGTGGAATTGATTACAAAACCATCTGCATATTGAGCGATAGACACGTTATATTTGACTACATATATCATGTGTAATAATGTTAAATAACAAAGGAGACAAAGGGTCAGCCTGCGCTAAAAGATTATTGGCCCGTCTTTTCAATCCCCCTTTATGCTATTCCCTTTCTATAACAAGATGTCTTTCACTTAAAAATGACCAAATATATCTACAAATTTTTGAACCAACCCTATCAATAACTATCAATTTGGACATTATTATAAGCGTTCTCTTGTAAATAAAGCAGGCAATAAAGCAGAGTAGGTATACTTTTTGAGAAGCCTAGCCGAATATGTGTTACTAAACATACTAAACAATCCGAGCACGATTGAGATCGGTGAAACCCACTGGTGTAAGGAGATAATATTTTGTTGTGTTCTATGTACTATTCTAATCTTTTAGTTATAAGAGTATGAAACATCTTACAAATACAAGACATTAGGGATATAGGACTTAATTTGTCCTTATTGCCTAGTTTAGGTAAGTATATGAATAATTTTAACATTACGCTATTGCATGGGTATGTATCCCGTTGAAAAAGTTACGTTAAATAAATATAATAAATACTGTTTGGCAACATCAGGTAGATTGTAAATTATAGAATAAGAGATTTCATCGAATCCAGGGGACGTGTATTTCTTTTTAAGCTATTATCAAAATGCTGAATAGTGAAGTTAACTTCCAATTGTTCATTTATTGACACAAATTTTAGCATTCTAAGCAGTACTGAAGCCGGAGCAAGATTATTTAATAGATCTTGTAGGTTTTCTTCAGTAGGATAAAATTTGTTGAACCTAAGTCTATTTACCCAACGCATTTTATTGCATAAAACAGTGAATTTGCAAATGTATTTGCAATTTCATTAAAACTATTGCAGAATTGTTTCAATTCTTACTGTCACTTTTTCTTGTAATTTAGTGAAGTTTAAAGTTGTTGGATTATTTCTAAAAAAAATTTAAGGCTAGCCTGCGTTGCGCAACTGTCTATTTTTGATAACGATGTATTCCAATACATTTTTGGTTTAAAATGTTTTTCTGGGTCACTACAGACTTTAGTTACAGGAATGTGTTCATTTGCTGCTTAATTAATCTATTTTTCAAAGTGGTTAAACATAGTTTGTACATCGTTACCTATCATCAAGAGGGCTTGAGGAGTGATATTGTTCTTATATTAATTAACGACTATTTTAAAATTATTTAAAGTATAGCCTATAATTTGTGTGGTACTGGCTTAATAGTATCTATCGCCCAATTTGTTGGCTGTACATAACTGAACAGTACTGAGGACGTTTGTAGCTATGGCACATGCCAAAAATATCTTATGGTTTCCGACAGATGGTAATATAACCATCACCAAGACGCCAAAAATAAATACGCTGACCGGCGACGGGAAGGTGCGTCAATCTGCTTACCGAGCGTTTAATGGAAATACAATAAAAGAGGCCCATGTTCAGAGTAAACTTTTGCAGGCTAATGAAAAAAGGAATTGAAAAGTCCCACTGCTGCACACAAGCCTCCTCTTATTTCTGGGAAGATTTTTTTTAAATTCTATAATTAGATTGACAAACGTGCACACAGTGCACCTAATAGTAAGTGAATGCTGAGACCCATAGACATCTACATTTATAATTGATTAGGATTCAAAACGAAGCAGATGCGTTGTCACTTCTGAGAACTAAAATGAAATGCCTTATTTACATTAAAAAGGGTATCCAGTTCTTTACACTCACCATACGAAACACAGCAGCATTAAGAGCACGTACAAGTCCACATTGCCAATCATTGATTCAATTTTCATTGCTAATTCAATTTTTACATAGCTAAATCTGCATTTTAATTCTTAATCGATGATAGATATACATGTGGATATCTATGGACTATAGCACCACTTACCATCAGGTGGACTATGTTTTTAAAGTCAGTGACATTGACTTTGAGCATTATTAATAATACTCGTATAGCTTCTTATGCGGTAATGGGCACAGATTTTCTGTTTTATTAAATTAGGTACTTTGTTGGATTTCTATCTCTAATCACTTCTTATGCTACTTATTTAGTAGCATAAGATGTGATGAAAGTCTTAGATTGTAACATGGTCATACGTACCTTATTAAAAGATCAAATTTTTTATTACAATGGAGTGACAAACGAGTATGCATAATTATCTACGGCCATAAAACCAAACTTTTGGGTTTCGGTTATTAATATCAAATATGCAACATAAGTAGATAACTTCTTTTTCGTATTTGGTTCGACGCCGGTGTATGTTTTTATGTCTGGTTTAAAAGAGATATTTACAGCGAGCGTTAACTATCTGAGCTACCACTCTCAGAAATGAGGGGAGACCTGTGCACAGCAGTGGGACGTATATAAGCAGTAACTAACTTTACTAACTTAAAAGAGATACTCGTAGTTATACCGTTATAATTTAGAAACTATGACAACTTTATTCTAATAATCGCTTATTACGACACAATATTAATTATACATACACAATTTTTTAATTCATAAATCTTGCTTTCTTTATTTCTGATAAAAATGTATGTAGATAGCTGGAAATCACATATGCAACAAAGAACTTCAGTATTAAAACGTCAGTTTCGTCGGAACTTTATCCGCCGTAGAATTATTTCTGAATGTACATGAGTAGTTTTCTCTCGTGTGTTGGAGACAATGGATACAATGGATACGAGCAGCGCAGCACACTCAATATCGATTCGTATCTTACAATTACACAAGCATCACTCGCTACAGTTGAGCTCTTGTGTACACGTGTCTCATTACAAATTTTCTGATGCTTGTGTAACTGCGTAGAATTTAATGTAAACAATTCTTCGTCGAATTCGCTGTTTACGTACCTACAGGATAGATTAAAAAGATTTGTTATTGCCAGCGATGCTTTTACTGACTTATCATTCATTTGCTGTGTATTTATTTCTCTTTTTTATAAATGGAATTATTTTCATGAAATACTTCATACCTACATGATTTCATTTTTAACAAAGAATATATACCCGGTTGATTTTTATTATCATAAAGTGTGTTTTTAATTTCGGTTATCAAAAAAGAGATTGAAGATGCTATCTTAAAATATTACAATTGTAACATAGCCCATGCTTTTTGTATTACTTAATGTAACGTTGATAAATCCCCATTTAATGTTTAAAGGAAACATACGTTTTTGCGGATGCTTTCTTTGTGAATATTTATACGAAATCGACAGATTTCGTACATAAATAGAAACTTTTTTAGACTTCAGTGCGCTTTGTGTTAAATAATAGTGTGAAGTGTGAACATATTCATGGTTACTGAGGGTTATTCATTTGTTTCAGGTGGCAGTATTAATTGAAAATGGCGTCATTGGTCTGCAAATAGTGCGTGCGAGTGCGTGTGGGGCGCGACGATGGGCCGGGGGCACACGTAGCCGTCGCCGGCATCGGCATGGAGGAAGACGAACGGCGGTTGTCTTTCCCGCCGCCGGCGCCGCTGAACTCGCCCGGGGAAGAGATCGACGGCTCGCGGTTGCTTGGCGAGATCGTGCGCACGCTCGAGGCAACGAACCCGGAGGCAGCTGCACCTCTGGCCGCCTCGCAGTCGCGCGATGCGCTGGCCACAGAATGCGAGAAGCCGCGACGGGACCAGTTGCGGATCCCGCTCGACGTCACGTTCGCAAACGAAACAGTGGGCGGGCGTGATGAGCCGCGGGCCGTTGTCACGCCGTTCACCCGCGAATCGGCGAAGCGCGCTGGCTCGCGGGGAGCACAGCTCGTGCGAGAGTTCGGCTTCATGCCGCGACGCCGGCTTAGTGTCGAAGATGGTGCACGTCTACCGCGGAAGTACGAGCCCTTTCCGCCGAAACTATATGGACGACCCCTGGAAGAGATTGACAATTTTATTTACGATGAGGTAAGTTTTAATTTTTTATGTTTCTATGTTCAGCAGTGAAAAACGTGCATTTTGTGTCGACTATTGTACACTTTTGTCTATAAAATTGACAAGGCTATGATAATGTTGTAACTTTATTTGAAAATTATGTAAATGGAAATGAAAACTATATTGTATGTAACACTTATACGCTACTACACCCATAAAATATTAAATATGAAATGCTTTTAGGGCACTACAAATGTTAGCACGGAATAATCGTAAAAGTTTAACGTGCCACTTTTCATGGGCGACCGGTTTAAACTCTTACATAGTCTAAATAAACTCTTTACTTTTATTTGAAATTAATAATGATGTGCTATTTATTGATGTTATGTACACTGAAATGAAATTGAAATTAAGCTTAAAGCGTATGGAGTTTACTTTACGTTTAGAATACGATTTTGAGGTAGTTTGTATTAGTTAACACATAGACCATGAGCTAACATGATATGACACATAAAATAATTTTTATAATACATTATCTGGCCCAGCGGATGTTGTTCTTCCCTTTGCGGTAGGTGGTGCAATTAGATTCATTCCGGGATTTTTAAAGTGTAAATAAGAAATGTTTGGTCCAGATTTTTTGATTTTATTTATTGTAAATAAGCCAACATATATATTAGATATACATAGTATCGGATTCTATGAACGTTCGTTTTGACAAAAAAATATCGTTCAGAAGTAGCATACCACTATCAGCAACGCAACAATTATTAAATTATATGCATAAAGATTTTTCAAGGTTTGTTATTTAATACAAAATTTTTATACGTAATAGAGGCACGCTGCAACTATATTATGGTTGTAGCACGAATGGGTCGGCTCGACCGGGGAAGGAACAAGTCCTCACAGAATAGCAGCATAAAATAGCACCTTAATACTGCTGTGTTTCGTATGGTGAGTGTTGACAACGCGTCTGCGTTTTGATTCTTGATCGAGGATAAATGTAGATGTCTATAGGCCGCAGTATCCACGTACCATCAGGTGGACTGTATGCTCGTTTGTCACACTTATTCTATATAAAAAAACATACCAAATATAATTTACCTATCAGAGGTTCATAAATGATGTACAACCAATTAGAAGCCGTAATATCTTATAGAGATCGCGCTCGCCTTGAACTCCGAAATGCGTAAGCAATCTCAACTAGATTTACGGTACTGGCATCGCTGCAAATATTAATTCATCGTGCTGAATGCTGTAGGGAAACATCTGAAAGAACAACGAATTTGTAAGATATTTAAAAACTGAAAGAGCGAATCATATATACATACCGAATACAAATAAAAACATACTGCATCAAACGAGCACACAGCCACCTTATGGTAAGTAGATGCTGTGGCCCATAGACATCTACATCTTTCCTCAATTAAGAATCAAAATGTAGATGCGCTGTCAGTTGTCACCCTTGAGGACTGAGATAGAATGCCTCGTTTCCAATAAAAAGAGTATCCGGTTCTCTACACTCACAATACGAAACACAGCAGCATTACGTAGCTATTTTACGCTTGTATTTTGTAAAAGGGTGGTTTTACCCCGGTCGAGTCGACTCATTAATACTACAACACTCGTAGATCGGAGCATCAAGGTCGTTGTAGACGGTGCAAGCTCCGATTACAGGCCTATTAATGCTGGTGTTCCACAAGGCTGCGTGCTGTCACCAACGCTGTTTCTTCTGCATATCAATGATATGTTGCAAACCCGTAACATTCATTGCTATGCAGATGATAGCATTGGTAATGCTCTGTACACCAGTTGTGTCAATATTTCTCGGGAAAACGTCTCCGAGTACCGGGACAAACTTGTGTCTGAAGTCGATTCTTTGCTGAACAGAGTCTCGGATTGGGGGCGACTAAATCTAGTTCGTTAACCACTAAAAAGAACCCCTTTGTCGTATCTCCCCAGTTTCAAGGCACTCCCCTTGTTTCCTCAGCCAGTATCGGTATCCTCGGCGTCGACATATCGAGTGACGTGCAGTTTCTTGGTCACTTGGAAGATTTCGTATATACCATGGGGGAGTGCTCTGAGGAATTGTTCATATTAATCCCAGAAGCCAAATTTCGTGAACGCACTACGACGCAAACGTCCCGATGCCATCCACATCATCTGGATGCTTGGCGGTCCACCACTGTACGTTTCAAAAGGAGTTTTATTCCGCGTACGACCTCTCTGTGGCATAGTTTACCACCGGCGATATTTCCGGACCGATACGACCTGGGGACCTTCAAGAAAAGAGCTTATTCTTTTCTAAAAGGCCGGCAACGCACCTGCAATTCCCCTGGTGTTGCGGTTGATCATGGGCGGCGGTAGTCACTTAATTAATCAGGTGAGCCGCATGCCCGTTTGCCCCCTCTTCTATAAAAAAAATTCTGTACAATCTTGGGTGGTCCACGGTTAAGCCGTCATAAGGCTCTATCGATACCGATTCAAAAGTAACTGAATACTATGATATTGTTATGTAATTTATATATTACAATGGTAGCTTTACGATATCATCAATTACTCGTTTACTAGCAATTCCTATTCCGGTCATAACTTTTTACATTTCGATGGCCCCTAAATCAGGCCTATAATCACTCAATGGACAATAAACGGCCACATAAATTTGATCTCTGACTGTAGCTCGGCAATTTACATTTGTTAGGGCTTATAAATAGCCAAAGGTCCATTTGGTTTGGTGATATTTATCATTAAAAGAAATTCAACAGACGCTGTGAAAGTAGCCATTTACCAGCAGGTGGAATGTAAGTTCGTTTATTTCCCCACTTTCATGAAAAAGGTGCAATTCTATAATTCTAGATTCTGTATCAATTTGGAGTAAAGAAGTTGATACGTCATTTACCGTTTAGGTAATTTGAAATTTGCAAAAAGAATAATGTTTGTTTGTAAAAAGAATAATTATTTTTACATGATAGCTTCTGAAGTCGATCGAAGAATTAAAGCCGACTTCAGAAGTTATCAAATGTAAGTGGAAATCATATTATTCTTTTTAATGTTTTTGTAATAGGTTTCACTTTTTACAAGATTAATTATTTTAACCTTTAGGTAGTCGCGCCTAAATACTTACACTATTAGTCGCGTGGGGTCCGTACGGACCCCAGGATTTACTTTTGAAAATGAAATATATAAAATAAGTGAAAATATTTATTCTATACAAAAACTTAAAGAAAAACTGATTTAAATTATTCTATAAAATAGACAATACTTTGAGGGTAGTCCCACTTAAACTTTGAGTAACAATTTACCAATTATAGGTGGACAAGTAGGGGAAGAAATTTGTTTATTAACTATATCGACATTATTCTAGCTGGAGCTTGTGCTACGGTTTAGTCTACCTAATTTAACCTTTAATTAGTCGCGTAGGGTCCATTGGACCCCAAGCGAGATTGTTTTTGTCATATTTCGGCAAATATTACACTTACGCGGTTGCACGTTTTAGTAGCTTCCTAGCTCACCCGCCTCTCCCGACTCAGTGTTCCGCAAGCCAGGGCGTCAATCACACGTGCCGTACGGAGGTGCTTGGGGTCCAACGGACCCCCGCGCGACTAATAGTGTTGTACAAATTCGGTAAGTATAATGATGAACATTTGGTTATTTCGTTTCACAATATTATGCAAACTTGTGTTTCATAATTATTTGTTAAATTTTACAGGTTAAAGAACACAATGGCAAGCCGCCACTTGAATTTAGAGCAAATATCAAATCTGCTAAATGAAGATGAAGAGGAGCCATTTGATGAAAGCGACGATGAATTAGGCATCGGAGAACACTTACCTGAACTACAAAATGATAATTCTGACTCTAAGCAGAGAGAAACCGACTCAGAAGATGAAGCAGGGTCATCTTTATCACAATATTATATAGGCAGAGACAAGCAAACCAAATGGTCCAAAAACTCTTCCAGCCAAAGAATAAGACAAAGAGCTCACAACATTGTTTTGCATTTACCTGGACCAAAGGGAGAAGCTAGGAATGTTATGAGTAAGACAGATTGTTTCAATTTATTTTTTGATAAGAATATAGTATATTTAATTTTAAAATATACAAATGAATATATTGATAAAATACGTACACGTTTTCAAAGAGAACGTGACGCAAAAATTTGACTAGCGATGAATTACAAGCATTTTTTGTATTGCTAATGATATCTGGTGTTCTCAGATCTTCACATCTGAATTTTCTTGATCTTTGGGCAAATGATGATACTGGCATAGAATTTTTTTTCTGATGTGATGTCTTCTCGACGTTTTCTGTTTATACTTCGTTGTCTACGATTTGATAAAGCAACATCGAGAGAATCCAGATTACGGCTTGATAAATTGGCACCAATCAGAGAATTTTGTGATCTGATGGGTGATAACTTCAAAAAACACTAACGGTTTCCGAGTACGTTACAATAGATGAGCAATTGCCAGCATTTAGAGGAAGATTCTCTAGTTTAGTCTATATGCCAAGCAAACCCATCAAATATGGGATCAAACACCATGCTATAGTTGACGTCAAACATATCTTCTAACATTTGAGATTTATGTAAATACACAGCCAGACGGTCCGTATAAATAACCAAATGATACAGTTAGCATCGTGAATAGACTTGTCGAACCAATCAAAGGTACGGGGCGTAATATCAACCTTGATAACTGGTACACTAGTATTCCTCTAGCAAAAGACTTGTTACAACATAAGCTTACTTTGGTTGGTACACTACGAAAAAACAAGAAGGAAATTCCATCACAATTTTTACCTCAAAAGACAACTGAAGTGCATTCGTCAAAATTTGGTTTTTGTAAGGAACTAACTCACGTTTCATATGTTCCGAAAAAATCTAAGGCTGTGATTTTACTGTCCACTATGCATCACGATAAAACTATTTGTGAAGATGACCAGGAAAAGCCGGAAATAATAGAATTTTATAATAAGAAGAAGGACGGTGTTGACACCAACGATAATTTGTGTGCAACTTATAACGTTCCAAAAGATGGCCTATGGTAATAATCTTTTCGTCTTTTTAATGTAGCAGCAATAAACGCTTATGTTATTTATAACATAAATAATAACAGTAAAATAACAAGAAGGGAATTTCTGAAAAAAAAAACAACTTCAATAGAACTTGTAAAATTATAAAACAAAGAGAGCTGAATTTACTACTCTGCCACGGCCCTTGAAAAGACGACTTCAATGTGATACTGAACTTTCTACTTCTGGAAGCAGTTCAAGTGGTTCCAAAGGCCGTTGTCACCTATCTTCAATTTCATTTTCAATTTTTCAATTTCATTTTCAAAAGTAAATCCTGGGGTCCGTACGGACCCCAGGATTTACTTTTGAAAATGAAATATATAAAATAAGTGAAAACATTTATTCTATACAAAAACTTAAAGAACAACATCTAAATTAACAAAATAAAGAAAGATTTCTAGGAAATAACAAAAATATAAACATCTAAAGCAGTAATCAAAATTATCTTAAATTATTAGGCACATGAATCACAAACTTTTGTAAGATGTTCATTACACATGAATTTGTTACATTTACCACATTTGGTTTTTCTGGGTTTCTTGCTGGTTCTTCCCGACAAGGTTTTTTTTCGAACCAGTGGTATTAAAAAAGTGACCTTCAATAAGTATTTTTATAATCTACATTGAATAAAAAAGTTTCTATTTCTATTTCTATTTCTTTTCCTATTAGACCTAGGATATAGGTGACAACGGCCTGTGGAACCACTTGAACTGCTTCCAGAAGTAGAAAGTTCAGTATCACATTGAAGTCGTCTTTTCAAGGGCCGTGGCAGAGTAGTAAATTCAGCTCTCTTTGTTTTATAATTTTACAAGTTCTATTGAAGTTGTTTTTTTTTTCAGAAATTCCCTTCTTGTTATTTTACTGTTATTATTTATGTTATAAATAACATAAGCGTTTATTGCTGCTACATTAAAAAGATGAAAAAATATTACCATAGGCCATCTTTTGGAACGTTATAAGTTGCACACAAATTATCGTTGGTGTCAACACCGTCCTTCGTCTTATTATAAAATTCTATTATTTCCGGCTTTTTCTAGTCATCATGATGCATAGTGGACAGTAAAATCACAGCCTTAGATTTTTTCGGAACATATGAAACGTGAGTTAGTTCCTTACAAAAACCAAATTTTGACGAATGCACTTCAGTTGTCTTTTGAGGTAAAAATTGTGATGGAATTTCCTTCTTGTTTTTTTCGTAGTGTACCAACCAAAGTAAGCTTATGTTGTAACAAGTCTTTTGCTAGAGGAATACTAGTGTACCAGTTATCAAGGTTGATATTACGCCCCGTACCTTTGATTGGTTCGACAAGTCTATTCACGATGCTAACTGTATCATTTGGTTATTTATACGGACCGTCTGGCTGTGTATTTACATAAATCTCAAATGTTAGAAGATATGTTTGACGTCAACTATAGCATGGTGTTTGATCCCATATTTGATGGGTTTGCTTGGCATATAGACTAAACTAGAGAATCTTCCTCTAAATGCTGGCAATTGCTCATCTATTGTAACGTACTCGGAAACCGTTAGTGTTTTTTGAAGTTATCACCCATCAGATCACAAAATTCTCTGATTGGTGCCAATTTATCAAGCCGTAATCTGGATTCTCTCGATGTCGCATTATCAAATCGTAGACAACGAAGTATAAACAGAAAACGTCGAGAAGACATCACATCAGAAAAAAAATTCTATGCCAGTATCATCATTTGCCCAAAGATCAAGAAAATTCAGATGTGAAGATCTGAGAACACCAGATATCATTAGCAATACAAAAAAATGCTTGTAATTCATCGCTAGTCAAATTTTTTGCGTCACGTTCTCTTTGAAAACGTGTACGTATTTTATCAATATATTCATTTGTATATTTTAAAATTAAATATACTATATTCTTATCAAAAAATAAATTGAAACAATCTGTCTTACTCATAACATTCCTAGCTTCTCCCTTTGGTCCAGGTAAATGCAAAACAATGTTGTGAGCTCTTTGTCTTATTCTTTGGCTGGAAGAGTTTTTGGACCATTTGGTTTGCTTGTCCCTGCCTATATAATATTGTGATAAAGATGACCCTGCTTCATCTTCTGAGTCGGTTTCTCTCTGCTTAGAGTCAGAATTATCATTTTGTAGTTCAGGTAAGTGTTCTCCGATGCCTAATTCATCGTCGCTTTCATCAAATGGCTCCTCTTCATCTTCATTTAGCAGATTTGATATTTGCTCTAAATTCAAGTGGCGGCTTGCCATTGTGTTCTTTAACCTGTAAAATTTAACAAATAATTATGAAACACAAGTTTGCATAATATTGTGAGACGAAATAACGAAATGTTCATCATTATACTTACCGAATTTGTACAACATTATTAGTCCCGCGGGGTCCGTTGGACCCCAAGCACCTCCGTACGGTACGTGTGATTGACGCCCCGGCTTGCGGAACACTGAGACGGGAGAGGCGGGGGGAGCTAGGAAGCTACTAAAACGTGCAACCGCGTAAGTGTAATATTTGCCGAAATATGACAAAAACAATCTCGCTTGGGGTCCAATGGACCCTACGCGACTAATTAAAGGTTAAATTAGGTAGACTAAACCGTAGCACAAGCTCCAGCTAGAATAATGTCGATATAGTTAATAAACAAATTTCTTCCCCTACTTGTCCACCTATAATTGGTAAATTGTTACTCAAAGTTTAAGTGGGACTACCCTCAAAGTATTGTCTATCTTATAAAGAATAATTAAAATCAGTTAACAATCGGTGAGGATATCGCGTTTCATGTTTACAAAGAATACAGTTGGATTGAGGTCTTCCTCCTTTTTTAGTCAACTGCCCCAGAAGGAGGGCAATCTTTTGAAGAGTATACATGTAAGTATGTATGTATGTTAGTATGTATGTGTGTTAGTATGTATGTAAGTATGCATGTGTGTATCTATGTATCTATGTATGTATGTATATTTTTGACAGGCTCTAAAACGGGTCTATAAATTTTAACATATTATAAGGTGTCGTTATATTCGCTTTAATTGTGGTAGTGACTTAGTTTTTAAGCAGCCGGGTTTATTTATTACTCTTTTAATGATATATGATTTAGATCATAATGGGCTTGTTTATGTGTATATTATTATTTTTTTCGTGTCGCAGTCAAAATCTCAGTTTCAAATATTAACAAGAAAATAATCACATTGAATATTCTTCTAATAAATCGGATTTATCTTTTTTATTTTATTCACAGCTGTACAGTGCAATACACAACGTGTAAAAAAGCTTGATTCCCGTTAACTGCGTTATCAGAATCATTATTCAAGCGTATAGAAATATTTTTTGTGTTTCAAAAAACTCGACCATAATTTTTTTAAATTTAATTAAAAAAAATCATTTGCAAATTGTATGTGGTTTTAGTTCTTCTAACTCACACGAGTATCGGTAATGCGGGATCTTTGACAATCCTCTTACTCCTAGGCCAATGCAGAGATAACAAAACCACATAGAATTTGTAAATTAATTTTTTTTCATTAAAATTAATTTTTAATGTGTTTTTTGAAAAAAAAAATTCTACCCGCTTGAATACTGGTTCTTATAACGCACTTAATGGGAACCACGGGGTTTTTGTTACAGTTGTTTAAAGTTTCAAACGATCACGGCATTTACATGACTGTTTGATTAAAAATTCAATAGAAATGGAATGCTAGTACATTGAATTTTTAAAACATTAAAATGCAATTTTACATTTTTTGACTTATAGAAAATCTTTATTCTTTTTTTTCATTATGTACTTGATGGTTAAAATTATTCCTATGTAATTGTACAGTTTACCATAATTATTCAACAATCTAAAATATTTGTTCTTTAAAAAAGTCAAAGATTTAAAAAAATATTTTCCAGTAAAGATAAAGGACACGCATTTCAAATATTATGTCGTAACATCAAAGGAGCCAAAAGTTACACACATAATCATTTGTTACGTTTTATATAAAAAGGAACGAAATGGCAAACAATCCCGCGTAAGCCCTTCCGTTTCTCCGGTTGATTGAATACAGGTGATAAAAAATTATCACTATTTCCACGAACGCACATAGAAAATCGGAGAAATGGTCGAAATCAAGGTGAAAAATTATATTTTACGAGAGAATTCGTCGTATTTCTGTGTCCTTTATTGCACAGAAGAGTTCTA